TAAACATTCCCATTTGGGAAATAGCCAGCGTCAATAGGCATCTATCTGTCTTATTTAGCCTGTTCAGCAACAAGTCTTTGTTATAATACCATTTGGTGCAGTCTGTCCACTCTTTTTATCATTTGTAGTTTTGTTCACATTAAAGTTCTTTTCTTTATTTTATTTTAATATGTTGGTCCACGCTGCAACTTATCCAAGGGTTGCAGTGTTTCTCCATCCCTAACTCACAAATCTAAAATATTTCTGTTTCAATATTTAGTTCTCCAGAACTGGGTATCCATATACCGTATGTTTATGCTACTATCTGTTTGTCTGAAGAGCCAGCCCAGAGTAAGCTTTAGGCCATGTCTTTTTATCCAGACGTGAATCTAAAATAAATTTATCTCAAGTCATAAAGAAGTCTGTTCATGAAAATATGAGCTGTAACTACAGCCAAGTTAATTCCTGGATTTGTAGTTTATTATTAACAACTGGAAGAACATGACTGTATGTATGTAGACCTATTCACTGACCCTTTTGCTAGTTCAGCCCTTGCAGTTTCAATATTAAACCCAAGGGAAGCAATATTGTTCAGTTTATCTTGTTAGAATGTGAAGCTTCCAATTTTCATTTCAAGTCCATCTGACATCAAGCGTCCTGCAATTGAGGATACAGAATGTTGGGAAATACAATAGCGTGTACTGCACCATAACGTATATAATTAGCACTTGAGCTGTAGATGGAGCTGTGCAGTTCAGAGTACTGCTCATATATGATATGAACTTGTTGGTACTCACAGGAATGAAGTTCTTTGTTTTTGTTACTTGCTCTTTGTCTCTCTTCCATTTGCCTTCCACCCTGCTCGCTGCTGTTTTAAGTAACTAATATGTTATAACTGTTTGCTGTTTATCCACACAAGTAAAGCCTAATATGCTAAACGCAGAAGGAGAGGTTCCCCCGTGAAGAGCCGCAGACCGGCGCTCATTCTACTCTATCGACCCTACTTACCTACCTTGATACACTGAGTACCTTCTCCTCAAGTTTCCAGTACCTCGTTTGACAATTGGAATCAGGTGATTAGGGTCACTTTTCGGATCTTTGGTTCTTTCTTTGAGGCAGGTAGTTAGACAGAAATTGGTTTAACAAATATGTGCCCTTGAAGGCACAGACAGACTTACCTCCTCTTTAGAACTTCACTGTTCTTTGTTTGAGGCAGCCAGTTAGACATTTGACACTAGATAGGTGCCCTCAAAGGCACAGACAGTTTTACCTTCTCTCAAGAACCTCCCCATAGCTGATATGGGTATCAGTCGGCATCTTATCAGCTGAGTTTACCAGGCAGTGAGTTATCTAGACTTATATGGTTATATAGTTGCCCTTGAAGGCACAGACATTTCTCTTTCTCTCTTCTGTATAACTCTCCTGCTGTCACTACTAGATTTCTAGGCAGTTAATCAGTTAATACTATATCACTATACCGGTTTGTTTAGGATATCTTATGTTTATACATACCCCATTTCTGCCATCATAATCATTTTCTGGCTTTCATATCTGGGTAAATTCATTATTAGTATTATTTTCATTTATTTTTTTTATTTTTTATGCTTGCTTTTGATACAAAGCCAGTTATAAACTTTGTTGAGACGCATCACCACATTGGTATTATCGGCCACCTGTGGCTTTGCAACACAGCGTAGTGTGGTTCATGATTCCTATGAGATACTATCTATTGCCTACATTATATTACTTGTATCTACTGTTAGGCTACAGTGTTTCTCTCTATTGGTTTTGATTTTTTACTACATCTGTATGTTTAGCACTATCAGAACTCGATTAGGGTATTCCCACCCCCGAGCTAATCTCTACCCAGTGTATGTTCGTCGTTATGTTTTTTTTCTCTCCCCTATTATTATATGACCTAGGTTCACCTCATTATTTTCACATGTGTTGTTTATTTCCTTTTTAGTATATTAAGAATAAAGATTTGATTTTTAAATCTCTATCCATGGACATACCTCTCCTTCTGCATTTACAATATGTAACCAAGGGTTACCCCCTCACTTGTCTTTACTCTATTACATCCGGATGATCATTTGGCTTCATCTTTATTTTTATTTTTTTATTTTTTTTATTCTTTATTTATGTGAGCTTGGTTTGGCAAGTTAACAGCATCATACATAAACAGTGGTATGATAATTTAAAGCAGTACAGTAAAATAGTGTTAACATTGATGTTTCAAGGTTGTAAGCACATTTTCATATATCCATCATGTTGGGTGGCATACCTGGGGCCTGCAGGGTTGTGCAGGTTCAGTGTTATGTGCGTTATTCCCCTGGTGTACTACAAGTGTGGGAGTGTGTGGGTGCTCCCTGAATCGGGTTGCGGTGTGTCAGTGTGTGTGGGAGCATGTATGTGATTGTTGCAAGCGGGTTTAGGTTTGTGGATCTGGATGCCTGTGTGTACTCGCCTGCGGAGCTCTTTCTAGTACCAGGGTGGTTGGAATGACAAGTGTGAAGGGCGCTCCGGTTTGTGACATACCCTGTGTGGCATCTCATCTAGCCCCCTATCCCTGGGGGTGGTGTGGGGTAGGCAGAGTGGCGATAGTCGTAGTGAGTGCCTATGTACTATCGTGCATGAGGGGTTGTCTGCCTTTCCTGTGGGGGTGGGGGCCCCGTAACTGCGGTTGCAATAAGGTCAGAAAGGATGGACCCAAGTGGGGTAAGGGAAAGGTAAAAGGCGAGGAGCGCAGGGGGATGTAAGCAGTGAGATGTGGGGTGGATAGGATGTGAGGGCCCAGCTTGAGAGAGAAAAAAAAAAATTAAACATTGGAGTTAGAAGTCATTAAAGTTATCACTCTGTGTCAAGAGATGTCTGGGACTTCCGTTTGACGGTTTTGGCCATGTCTTGCATATTGTCCCCGGGTTCAGTCCCCGTGCCCAGTCAAGTGACCAGATTCTGTAGATCTCGTGTTGACTGTCCAGGAGTAGGGCTGTCCTCTGGGTCCCAGCTCTCTGGTCGACCTGCGGTCGTGGCTTCATCTTTAAAAGCCTAATATGCTTCTTCACAATCTGCCAGTGTCTCTTTTTGATGCATAACCAACACAGAATGTGCTGGGTATGCATGGACATACCCTCCGGCAGGTAATGGTAATAACAGTGTCTCACACATGCCCTGTACTTTTAGCTAATAATTGGAAAAAGAGAAAAAAACTGCGCTAAATTGCCACAATAAAATTATAAGAAAGGCAGCAATCCTCAAAGGGGAGTCCCCAATAATCCCCTAATGATAACAGATAGCAAGAACAAACAGAGATATAAGGATGCGCCTAAAACTAGATAAAATAAAAGACTAAATTAGTCAGATAAAATACAGAATAAAATAAGTAATAAAACAATAGTCCAATAAAATAGGCTTATCACAGTCCGTGAGGGTAGGTCCCACTTGTAAAGGAATATTCTTTAGGGTGTAGGTGGGATCGTATCTTCAAATGTTGAGAATTCAGCATATGTGGAGAGAAAAATAAAAACAGGACTCCAATGGCACAGTAAATCGGTGTATAAAATAAATATAAAAGTATAAAATCAGTCTTACTCACACTTTTCAGAGCTAGGATCAGCTCTGATATTGCTCGCGTAAAGTGGAATAATCCCCACTTCAAGGATATATGGAGTACATTTTGATAGTTGAATATCTGACGTGGGTTCAGCGTTCAATTTGACGTAATACGACCCAGAGGAAAAAATGAAATAAAATATATAGTGCTCACTGTATGTAATAAAATTAAAAGAAAGTAAAGTATACTACTCACGTAAAGTAGAGCAGACTCAAAACTGCTCAGTGAAGGCGCTCAGGTGGTATAATCCCCACCTATGGATTCTTTGCACTTCCTGCAGGGTGAGCCGTATACGTAAAAGCAATAAAAGAAAATGTATGTAAAATCAGGTAAAGGAAAAAGCAAATGGCAATAAAGTATTTTATGCCAATAAAATATCTTTATTATAAAGTTAAGAACAAAATCTATTAATATCTAAACGCGTTTCGCCTTAACAGGCTTCTTCTTTCCCACTATCTACTTGAAGAAGCCTGTTAAGGCGAAACGCGTTTAGATATTAATAGATTTTGTTCTTACCTTTATAATAAAGATATTTTATTGGCATAAAATACTTTATTGCCATTTGCTTTTTCCTTTACCTGATTTTACATACATTTTCTTTTATTGCTTTTACGTATACGGCTCACCCTGCAGGAAGTGCAAAGAATCCATAGGTGGGGATTATACCACCTGAGCGCCTTCACTGAGCAGTTTTGAGTCTGCTCTACTTTACGTGAGTAGTATACTTTACTTTCTTTTAATTTTATTACATACAGTGAGCACTATATATTTTATTTCATTTTTTCCTCTGGGTCGTATTACGTCAAATTGAACGCTGAACCCACGTCAGATATTCAACTATCAAAATGTACTCCATATATCCTTGAAGTGGGGATTATTCCACTTTACGCGAGCAATATCAGAGCTGATCCTAGCTCTGAAAAGTGTGAGTAAGACTGATTTTATACTTTTATATTTATTTTATACACCGATTTACTGTGCCATTGGAGTCCTGTTTTTATTTTTCTCTCCACATATGCTGAATTCTCAACATTTGAAGATACGATCCCACCTACACCCTAAAGAATATTCCTTTACAAGTGGTACCTACCCTCACGGACTGTGATAAGCCTATTTTATTGGACTATTGTTTTATTACTTATTTTATTCTGTATTTTATCTGACTAATTTAGTCTTTTATTTTATCTAGTTTTAGGCGCATCCTTATATCTCTGTTTGTTCTTGCTATCTTTTAGCTAATAATTACCTGCTGAACAGTGACCCACCAAGCTAAAACTGAATAACCCGCCTTGCGTCCATATTCCCATTGAGATAGTGGCGAAACCCATGATTGGGGTCGTGAATGAACATCATCGTGCGTGTAGTCCACAGCAGTTGGCTAGCCACCAAACATCGATCACAGATAGCAAGAGTGATTACAACTTTCTCTAGTTCTTTCTTGTAGGTTATGAGTGCTGACTTTCAGAACTTTGCTAGTTTTTCTTTTCATGCATCATACTCCAGAGCAATATTTTTCAAGACAATCTTTAAAGCACATCAGCACCTTTTCCATACTGTCATGGACCCACTCAATAATACCACCCCTAGTGAAATCTCAAAGCTCAAATTGCTCAGTCTCCTCCTGTGTTACACCAATTTCTCCAGTCCAAGCTTTTGTGTTCCTTCTTTCACACTCAAGTTGTCGTACTTTTATCACTCTATCTGTGAGTCACCCCTAATACTATTTAACGTTGATAGGTCTGGCAGTGAATAGGGTTAATATGATTGCTGAAGCATCTTGGTTTCATTTATTTCTTCACATTACACGATCTAAACCAGATGCCTTATTATGGTTACCACTGTAAGCATTCTTACTTCTAACATTTGTTCTGTATTATTAATATAGGTTAGTGACAGGAAATGGGGTATGTATGCCCTTGGAAAAGCATAAAAGCTAATTCTTTTACCACTTTCTAAGGTAGCTTGTTATAGTCAAAAAGGTAAACCGGTTTTAATTACACAGGAACATTCTAACCATCAAAGCTGCAATAGATCCATGTGTGTCTTAAAAATCTTCACCCTCCCCTACTTTGATTTTTTTTTTACTTTATAAATATACTGTTAGATATCCTGTTACTAACTAAATCTTGGGGGGGGGAAACTCTGCAATTGCTTTTCAAAAAGGAATCAACAGGCCCCAAACCATAGGGCTGTATTCACCAATGAAAATCTAGAGTAATTTTGATGCAAGTACGAAATAATACATTGCACAATCAACAAAAATCATTCAATTTGTTTTTCTACAGAACTTGTATCTTAAATAAACATCAGTTTGTTCTAAAGAGTTTCAACTTTCTCTACAGAAATATGTTCCATTGTATCAATTCTTTGCATATTGTATAACCTAAAAGGCAAAGGATTCCATGATTTTGAACACTTTCTGATGGGTAGACTCTTGGGTGTTACACCGGTGCTCTTGTAGCTAGATTGCGACATTTGGTTTGGTGACCTATTGTAGTGAAACTCTCCTCTACATCACCTTTCCATAATTTGTAAGGCATATGTTTGTTTGTTTTCCTTCACAGGTTCGATACAAAAAATAAAATTTGTTCTTATTATTCTTGCCATCTGACAAATAATCACTTGTGAAGTTCTATCTTTTCCTTATTACGTTGTTTTTGTTTGGGCTTGTAGTAGACGTCAAATCTGCACCCTAATCTGTACCCTAATCATAAACCAAATGAGCTGCGCAATGGCCGAACATTTTCATTTTGATTCGTAATTCTGAATCCCACCTTTGGCACCAACAAAGGAGATGATTGATTGGAAAAAAGGTGATTGATGGTTAAGGGAATCACATAAATCCAGTCAAAACTCCTAGTATGCTCACATCTAGAAGTTTATTTGGGGGAGTTCCAGCCTACAGAAAATAGAACCATTTGGCTAAATTGCATCGATCGTGCTTTAGCTGAAAAGTCAAATTTTCTGAGGGGTGGATCTTTCCCCAATAAACTTCTACCTGTAACATACCTGGAGTGTTGCCTGTTTTTTTTATTTTTTATTTCAGTTTCTATTGAATTTATGGTGTCCTAGTATATGGAGCACCTCCACTGTCTAAGGCAAGAACAGGAAGAACTTGCATGCAGTCATTTTGTTGTTTGATTGATGACTAAGGGACAGTCATTCAATGTTGATTTTATTCACAGATCATTTGAGAAGTTAGCAATAGAGGCAATAAAAGGAAGTTGTGCAACAGAGTCCAGAAAGTGACCAAGGGAAATTGATGATCTCTCTCTCGGGGGCGGGGCCGGGCCGCCGAGCAGAGCGGCAGCCATCCGCGCTAGCTCCGACCCTGAACGGCACAACAGCTTTAAAAAAGCCCCCCCCCCCCAAAAAAAAGGCCCAGGAAATACTACCCTTTAGGAGTACCGGGAGCCAGGGCAGCACATAAGGAGACCCCAAGAGATGAATAAGCGGCCGCTCCCCACACTGCAACCGCGAAGCCCAAATGACCGGCACAAGGCCTACACACATGTGGAGGCGGCGGAGTTCGTAAGGCGATGGAGGGAGAGAGGTAGACGCCGGCCCCGCTTCCCCCCGGCCGGTGGGGGTAATCCCGGCCCATGAGTCAGACCTTCAGAGGGGCCCCTTCCCATGGGGAACCAAGATGGCGGATACACACACGCGCGCAGAGCCACGCTGGGTCACCTGGACCCCCAGGACACCGGATCCCATAGAAAGACCACTCGGGGCGGAGAACTGCCTGGCAAGGAGCCGGTCTGGGCCCCAGGATTTGGTGGTGGTCCAGGAGCAGATGCCCCCAACTCTGCGAGCCCTGCAGTACCGGGGTGTGCTGACCCCCGGCGGACCGGTGGCTGGGGAGGCGCGCACCGACGCCAAGCATGTGGCCGGAGAAGGGTGAGGTGTCAAAGGACTGGAGCTCCAGCAGAGGTCAGCAGGAGTAGGGGAGGTGCAGGGGACGGGGGGGACCCGCTGACTTTTCAGGACTGCTCCCGACCCTGAGGGGCCCAAGCAGTGAGCAACAAGCTTGAAGCGCAAAAGACCACCCGAGAAGCCATATACCAGGGGATGAGGGATCCCCCCCGCAGCGGAGCTGATAAACCACCTCCAGAGAAGGGACTCACCTTTTTTATGTCCTAGGGACCAAGCCCTGAGAAGACATAACACAAATGGTCTTCTGAAATTATTCACGTATTATATTTGCTTATTACCTTAATACTGGACCATATAACAATGTAATCGATTACCCATATCAGCTTTAAAAGTGAATAGGCTATTTGTGCCACAGTGCCCCCATGGGCAAAAGTTCTGTGTTAGTCTCTATTGCTTACTTAATAGCTGAACTGCTGCGATCGGGGCATAAGGCATTGCAAAGCTAAAGACCACGCAGCCATGAATTCAATCCATGCTGGATGTAGACCATTTCCTTGCTCTACTTAAGATTGGCCCGGTTATGCATTAAAGGACCACTATAGTGCCAGGAAAACATACTCGTTTTCCTGGCACTATAGTGCCCTGAGGGTGCCCCCACCCTCAGGGACCCCCTCCCGCCCGGCTCTGGAAAGGGGAAAGGGGTTAAAACTTACCTTTTTCCAGCGCTGGGCGGGGAGCTCTCCTCCTCCGATCCTCCTCTTCTCCTCCTCCTGGGCTGAATGCGCACGCGCGGCAAGAGCTGCGCGCGCATTCAGCCCGTCGCATAGGAAAGCATTCTCAATGCTTTCCTATGGACGCTGGCGTGCTCTCACTGTGAAAATCACAGTGAGAAGCACGCAAGCGCCTCTAGTGGCTGCCAATGAGACAGCCACTAGAGGAAATAGGGGAAGGCTTAACCCATTCATAAACATAGCAGTTTCTCTGAAACTGCTATGTTTATGAAAGAATGGGTTAACCCTAGCTGGACCTGGCACCCAGACCACTTCATTAAGCTGAAGTGGTCTGGGTGCCTAGAGTGGTCCTTTAATATATTAAACTAGGCCAAGGCTTAGTTGTTAACAATATTTGCAACACACGCAGATAAAAAATGCGTTATCTATTCATGATGCAAAAACCTGCTCCAACAACGGTACCGGAGAAATGAGCTAGATAAAAGACGTTAATGGCCTCTACAGGGAGTGCAGAATTATTAGGCAAGTTGTATTTTTGAGGATTAATTTTATTATTGAACAACAACCATGTTCTCAATGAACCCAAAAAACTCATTAATATCAAAGCTGAATATTTTGGAAGTAGTTTTTAGTTTGTTTTTAGTTTTAGCTATGTTAGGGGGATATCTGTGTGTGCAGGTGACTATTACTGTGCATAATTATTAGGCAACTTAACAAAAACAAATATATACCCATTTCAATTATTTATTATTACCAGTGAAACCAATATAACATCTCAACATTCACAAATATACATTTCTGACATTCAAAAACAAAACAAAAACAAATTAGTGACCAATATAGCCACCTTTCTTTGTAAGGACACTCAAAAGCCTGCCATCCATGGATTCTGTCAGTGTTTTGATCTGTTCACCATCAACATTGCGTGCAGCAGCAACCACAGCCTCCCAGACACTGTTCAGAGAGGTGTACCGTTTTCCCTCCTTGTAAATCTCACATTTGATGATGGACCACAGGTTCTCAATGGGGTTCAGATCAGGTGAACAAGGAGGCCATGTCATTAGATTTTCTTCTTTTATACCCTTTCTTGCCAGCTACGCTGTGGAGTACTTGGACGCGTGTGATGGAGCATTGTCCTGCATGAAAATCATGTTTTCTTGAAGGATGCAGACTTCTTCCTGTACCACTGCTTGAAGAAGGTGTCTTCCAGGAACTGGCAGTAGGACTGGGAGTTGAGCTTGACTCCATCCTCAACCCGAAAAGGCCCCACAAGCTCATCTTTGATGATACCAGCCCAAACCAGTACTCCACCTCCACCTTGCTGGCGCCTGAGTCGGACTGGAGCTCTCTGCCCTTTACCAATCCAGCCACGGGCCCATCCATCTGGCCCATCAAGACTCACTCTCATTTCATCAGTCCATAAAACCTTAGAAAAATCAGTCTTGAGATATTTCTTGGCCCAGTCTTGACGTTTCAGCTTGTGTGTCTTGTTCAGTGGTGGTCGTCTTTCAGCCTTTCTTACCTTGGCCATGTCTCTGAGTATTGCACACCTTGTGCTTTTGGGCACTCCAGTGATGTTGCAGCTCTGAAATATGGCCAAACTGGTGGCAAGTGGCATCGTGGCAGCTGCACGCTTGACTTTTCTCAGTTCATGGGCAGTTATTTTGCGCCTTGGTTTTTCCACACGCTTCTTGCGACCCTGTTGACTATTTTGAATGAAACGCTTGATTGTTCGATGATCACGCTTCAGAAGCTTTGCAATTTTAAGAGTGCTGCATCCCTCTGCAAGATATCTCACTATTTTTGACTTTTCTGAGCCTGTCAAGTCCTTCTTTGACCCATTTTGCCAAAGGAAAGGAAGTTGCCTAATAATTATGCACACCTGATATAGGGTGTTGATGTCATTAGACCACACCCCTTCTCATTACAGAGATGCACATCACCTAATATGCTTAATTGGTAGTAGGCTTTCGAGCCTATACAGCTTGGAGTAAGACAACATGCATAAAGAGGATGATGTGGTCAAAATACTCATTTGCCTAATAATTCTGCACTCCCTGTATATGGATATAGCAGCTGGAACACAGCGTTTAAAAGCTGCCTCCCCATGTTCGATTCAAGTTAAGAAACGTAAATTCTCGTAAAGTTAATGCATGTTTGATATACAAGACAACTGCATTTTATATAGGGTGTCCGATTATATAACCTTTACCAGTACTGCACTGTTAGCAACAGTCTATATCAGACCACACATTATAAGTTAATTACTTTAACTAAATGAGCATTTACACGTTTACATGTTTACGTATTAATATATTTTATTTAGCTATAAATATGCAAGATAGACAGATAAGAATCAGGCCAGGCAGCAAGGATTAATGATATGTTATCATTCAATGCCAAATGATCATTAGATACTGCAAAGTATGAACAATGCCCTAATAAGAAAGACGACTACTGTGGAACAATAGACATGATTGATGAGCTTCTGCGCAGGCAACGATTTGAATATCCATTCATGCAATGAAAATCAGGCCTCTGCGCAGGCACTAACCCGCTTTAACATTAATGCGTTTGCATTGGAATATGTTATGAAACAAATAAACATATTTAAAACAGAAAGTGACCAAGGCAGGTAGAAATCAGAGAAGGGTATAGATTAGGGGTAAATGTGTAAGATAAATCCAGAGAAGTGGAACAGTTGGGGAAAAGTCTTGTAAGGGTGACGGGGAGGAACTACAAGCCACGGTAAGAATTTAGGTTTTTACTCTATGTATTTAATGGGCAAGCACTGCTGAGTGTTGTCACATTTAAATCTTCCTACGCATAGGCATCGTGCCATGAAAAGTGTACATTTTGTATGTCATTAAAAAGATTAATATAAATTTTCCTTGTATGTATACTTGTACTAGAGTGAAGATTGTTGTAGGAAATATGTGTTATTTTTTATCTTAACCAGCATGTCTAAGTATCTGCTTATAGGTCCTACAAATGTGTTAATCCAAATTACTTTCATTTAAACATCTCTAGGCAGACAGCAAAAAAAAAAAAAAAAAACATCAGAGAATTTTTAATTCTAAGGAAAAAGTTTATATTACACAATCCAAAAGGACAGATCAATTCCTTATAAACCACAGGAATGTTCCACCACACCCTAGGAAGGACTGAGACAGGCCTGGACCAGACAGAACTTGCTCAGAACTCAGATTATGGTCTCTGTCCACGATTACACCAATTTCAACAAGTCACTATAGACAGAACTGTGTTTATTCCATACCCAGGCATATCTTTATATGTCCATCTTTTATAGGATATATCTTCCACGATATCAAAGTTTGTCCTGTTTGGCTATCCTAAAGTTCCCTTATTTTAGGAGCTCAGTAATGTGTGGTATGTATGAGTGTATCACAGAGCTCCAGCAATCAAACTCACACAGGATTATTCGCTAAAATGTGAATTGTCAGGAATTCAAAGTGAATTTCAAATTTTAAGCCAAAAGAGCTTTAACTGAAAACATTCTATAATTTGTTCAATCAGGATACTTGGCCTAAGATATTAAGTAAAGTTTTTACTTCATTATGAATTCTCAACAATTGACATAGTAAAGAATAATGCTGTGACTAATGTGTGGTGTGTTTCATTGTGTTACAGAGCTCCACATAAATAAAACTTAAAATTTATATTTAAAAGAAGAAAACTACCACAACAAGAGGACATAGTCTTAAATTAGAGGGACAAAGGTTTAAAAATAATATCAGGAAGTATTACTTTACTGAGAGGGTAGTGGATGCATGGAATAGCCTTCCAGCTGAAGTGGTAGAGGTTAACACAGTGAAGGAGTTTAAGCATGCATGGGATATGCATAAGGCTATCCTAACTATAAGATAAGGCTAGGGACTAATGAAAGTATTTATAAAATTGGACAGACTAGATGTGCCGAATGGTTCTTATCTGCCGTCACATTCTATGTTTCTATAAATTTGGTATGTCTCACAAAATTCCACAGAACAAAACCCCATTGTAATGTTCGGTGTGTACAGCTGTTTCACCACAACAATAAAAATAGGTCATTCACACTGTGTATGAGTTTGTCACAGAGCCATCCAGCCATAAAATTCAATGTTAAGTGTGAAATTCATAGTGTGTATGTTTGTCACTGAGCTCCTCCGCTATGAAACTCACAGTAAATGTTTACCCCAGAGCTCCACATCACTCAACCTCATATTAACGAGCAGTGAGTTTTTTTTGTATACAAAATCAGTAAACACTGTTAGATTGATTGCATTTTATTTTTGTTTTTGGCATTTATATAGCGCCAACATATTCTGCAGGGCTAAAAACAGGGGAAGGTACCAGAGCTAATATTCTGACAATATTGAAATTCAACCGTGTAATAACCCAACTAATGGTCAGCTGCTATATCACCTAGGTCTTATCTTTCAACACTGGCTATATTCTGCAGGGCTTTCCAATATTATAAAAAGGGGAAATTTCACAATAAATGAGACAAATACAAAATGTTACAGGAACAATGGGTTTATGAGAACCTTGCTCAAGCAAGCTTACAGTCTGTAGGAGGTGGGGTATAAAAACACAATAGGAAGGACGAGGGGGTTATTAACCAAAGAAGGTGGGAGGGAAACAGAACTAGAGGAGAGAGTAGAGTGCTGCCCTTTAAGAGAGAGCAAGAGACAGGTATGTAAGGTAGAGGTTTTTCTTTGACTTTAGTAGTGTTCTGACATATCCTGACTTATCTTGCATAGATTGGGTTTTAGAAATGCTGGGAAAAATATGACACCCTGTAAAATGAGCACATTTGCAGGATACTTACTGGGGGCATTAGAAATACATTGTATTTGTTTTATTATTCCTATGAGGTTCACCTACCAATATAACAGAATAATTTCAAAGTCTACATACATTCTCTGCACTTGTGTGTCCCTCGTTAAAAAACTGTTCTAAAATATATACTTATGTAACGGGTGCTCCTAGAGGGTTTACACTTATTTATATTTTATATTTACTGGGCGAGTCTGCTAATCTTTAGAGGTAGGTTATAACCATATTTACTAAATGCTGAATTTCATAGAGACAGCTCACATGTACAAATATAAGGGGCCCACTGAAACTGGCCCATTTTGGCTGTGGACCCTATGCAGTTCAGCTGAGATGATAGAAGTTTCTTTCCAACTGGCCATATTGAATATCTCCTGAGGAGTTAAACCCTCATTGCCCCACATTGTCGGCTGTCCTTGCACACAGCAGCAGTTGTGGAAGGATATGATGTGATGTCTCTTGTGCATGACTGCTCCCTAATAAACCCAAATTACTCTACAGTAAGAAACAGAATTGCGATAAAATACACATACATAATATAGATGATATGTAATTCAGTGTGTGTTTGTGCTTCTGTCAGTGCGTGTGTGTGTATGTGTGTCTGTTTATCTGCAAGTGTTTGTGTATTTATGTTTCTTGCAGTTAAAATATATAAACAAAGAAAAGAAAACATTTCAACTCCAGTGTGACAAAAAATATAGCTGCAAGCCATTTGCATTTCCTTTTTATTTTTATCCATTAATTTTCTGACCCCCCCCCAAAAAAAATCTCATTATTTCTTTGCAATGTGCTTAACCCCTTAAGGACATTATTCCCTTTTAAAACAGAAGTATGGTCCTTAAGGAGTTAAAGGGACACTCCAGGCACCCAGACCACTTCAGTTCATTGGAATGGTGTAGGTGCCAACTCCCATCACCCTTAACCCTGCAAGTGTAAGGGTTAGGTCCTCATCTAGTGGCTGTCTATCAGTCTATCAGACAGCCACTAGAGGGACTTCCGGTATCTTAAACGACGCTGGGCGTCCTCACGCTATGCATGAGGACCTCCAGCGTCGCCGGAATCCCCATAGGAAAGCATTGAATAATGAATAATGCTTTCCTATGGGGAGGTCTAATGCATGCGTGCGGCCATTGCCAGCTGACGGCAGGGGAGGACCATGGGCGCTGGATTCAGGTAAGTCACTGAAGGGGTTTTAACCCCTTCAGCAACATGGGATGGGGGTGGGAGGGAGAGAGGCACTGCAGGAACATTATAGTGCCAGGAAAATAGATATGTTTTCCTGGCACTGGAAAGTCCCTATAATACTACCTGTGGAAACAATGGTGAGTTTTTCCTCTGAGATAATTTAAAATAAAAGGCTGATCTATTTTATATTGTTTTGTTTTATGCATAAAGTACTGATGCTTTTATATACACCAATGGTTCATTTATGGTTTTCTTAAACTTTCTCTTACGATTTTACATTTTGGGTTTTTTTTGTTTTTGTTTTTTTCAGGCTAATGGGGCAGCACAATCTTAAGAATTCTGTGAAATGCTAAGGATATTAAGCATGCCATATAAAGTTACTCTGGAACAATGGAAGCCATTTTGAGCCATACTTTCCCACATTGCAGTGTTCTGAGAGGTCCAGCTGCTTGTTTTGATTTCAGACAGTGACTCAGAGGTCGGAAAGTTGGACTGAAGACGTGGGCAGGCATGAAATCTGGCAATAAAGCATACAGGAACCTAAGTTAACCTTTCCAGATAATTTAAAGTACTAGTAGCATTACTCATATATATATATATATATTATTTCTTCTTTTTATTTTTTTTCTTATGATGTGCGTAATGGAAAAACATTCTTAAAAGCAAAAACAGCTACCATACCAATTTAATTAAGATCTTTGCATTAAATGACCCTTTCATCAATATAAAAAATACATTTTGCAGATGCAGATCAAGCATCCCTTAAGCAGATGTTCAGATTTTGATTTTGCAGAAGTAAAAGTCATTATTTATTACAAGAGAAAGAGACTGCCCATACCTTTGTAGAAAGACAAACTCTGGCCTTTTGGGAAGAATAATGTGACTACTAACCTACACCTATGCCTGAAGGATCTTTATTGGGGTCAGTGAAACATTAAAGGACCACTATAGTGCCAGGAAAAGATACTCGTTTTCCTGGCACTATAGTGCCCTGAGGGTGCCCCCACCCTCAGGGTCCCACTCCCGCCGGGCTGGATGGAGAGGATCCAGCCTCTCGTGGCTGTCTCAAAGAGACAGCCACGAGAGGCTGGATTAACCCTAAAGTAAACATCAGTTTCTCTATGTTTATAGCAGAAAGGGTTAATCCTAGGTGGACCTGGTACCCAGACCACTTCATTAAGCTGAAGTGGTCTGGGTGCCTATAGTGGTCCTTTAAGGGATAGGTCACGTAGTCCTGCTATGTTTTGAGGATATTGAATAAAACTGTTTCTCTCTTCCTATTCACTCCCTCTCTCCCGTCTGGAGGAGGCTCTGCTGATTATTCTGGCAGTTGCCTAAGGCACAACCAAGGTTAGCACTCTGGAATATGCAGTTGCTGAAGTGCCTGCAGGCCTCCTTCAAGGGTTCTAGTAGAATGGTAGCATAATAGTGTTAGTTTGTTTGCTGGTTAATATGATAAACTTTCATGAAGCCAAGTCATTGTTAGACCCCAGATCTTGTGTCAGTTCTTGTTTATAGGTAGGTTGGTGATTGTTATCTATGTAAAGCTTACAGTAAGTCATCTGAGACCTCACTAGCACATTGTAGCTTCCACCTTTACTAGGGCCCTGTAATCTGTACGATTCTAACTCTCTGCAATCTAAACCTGTACTAGCATATTATAATCTGTACGATTCTAGACCATTGCAAGCTGAGCCTTTACTAACTCACTATAATCTGCCCCATGTTAGCAGATTGCAATCTGAGCCTCTACTAACTCACTATAATCTGCCCCATACTAGCACATTGCAATCTGAACCTTTACTAACTCACTATAATCTGTATGTGATAGAAGGAGGGACTAGCACCTTGTGGAATTCTCGGGTGTTGGTCAATATCTATTAAAACAGGAAGAGACAGTACAATGGGTATGTAGTGCAGTATGTCTAATGTGCATGGGTAGAAGAAAAAATGAAATGCACTTAGAGTGTGTAGAGCTATCAGTTAGCTATCAGCTATGTTGCACCTGGTCAGGGAGTGTTCCAGGGAGTATGAGACAGAATAATTAATCAAATGGAAATACACTCACAATGTGTGGAGTCTCCTAACAGCTCTCAGAAAACAGCATAGAGTGATACAACCATGGAGGAAATGGTCCAGGCAGGTAGTATAAAAATATTAATTGACTAAAAGAAAATTACATAGAATACATGACTGTAAAAGTAAAGTAAATAAAATAAAATGAGTAGTAACACTGACACAAAGTAATTTCTCTTTTCACAGTATTACTTGTAATAATATTTACACATCAAGTGTAACTAAATAAAACGAACTCTAAATAGATTTAAGTAAGTCCAGATTGTTAAATAACTCGTATCTAGGATATACATTTTAGGTAGCTAACGTTTCCTTTACCTTTAACAACCTCCCCATCTCTATACCAACCCTTTCCCCTAACCCTAATTCCTACACTAACTCTAGCTGTAAACCTACCCTAACCTTTACCCTAAACTTTCCCCATCCCTAAAACAGCATGAACCCTAATCCAGCATGAACCCTTACCTTACCCTATCACTAATCCGAACCCTAATAGATACCTTCTACTGATATCAGCAGAGTGACATTCCTTGTAAAACAGAAAGGAAAGGAGAAAGGATTGAGACCTGAGTCTCCCTGGTGTGGACACGGATTTCTCACACCAAAACTGCAGAACTTGCCATACCATCCAGAGCCAACAGAGTTAAAGCTCACTTTCTGGAGGATGATACAAAACACCCTAAACATGTTAAGGGATTGAACTCCACCTATTGACAAGTTTTGCTAACTTGACTGCTATACACAAGGAAAATCTCTCACCCAGACAATAAAGAGAGAGATTCAGAAACAGGGAGCTATATAGAAGCAGGTGAGATAAAATGTATTTTGGCAACAGAGCCTCTTGAAGACAGCATGTAATGCGATGTCATACATTCGCATTCTGTATTCAGACATGTATCAGAGACGTAAAAGGTGTGTGCTGCAGGTTAACACTCACTCTTCCTTCGCAAATAGTCTTGGTCTGAGCCCATTCACATGGCCAGACATGCAGCTCGCATAAAAGAAATATATAGGTGGTCTCTGAGCTGGGGCCATATTTTAAAGCTGCTCACCAGGCTCAAGGAGCTTAGAGAAACCCAATCGTTTGTCAAACGACTCAAAACAAAACTTTTGATACCAAGTGAGGTATAGCTTGCAAAGACCATTAGCACCACAACCACTGCAATGAAGTGTAATGTTCTCTTTAAGTCATTATATGCTTAATTCAAAACAATATGCTGTGATAATTCTGTAATGAATGAGTGGGGTGTGACTTGCATATTTGGCGGACCAGAGCTCTAAAAGTCATTGAGTCAACATGAGCCTGGGGAACAGATTCCTTTGCGTAGTGGGTGTAACATATGATTAACATTTTCGGAAACATGTGGCTACATTGGGTATTTTCCATCTATATTTTTTCATATTAATGACCAAGTAAATGAATAATAAAGTGGATAAAATTGTTCCTTCAGAACAAAGAAAAGTGCAAACTCTGGCTGGGAGTGGCTATCCACAGGACTGGTGCAAGGATTTTTGACTACATAGGCAAAGATGCATTTTTCCACCCCTCAAAAAAAATTGGTCTTCATCTGTGTGTCCCGTAACCCCCCTTTTGAATTGCTTACCCCCCACGTAGTGTTTCTTATCCCCACTTTTGAATGTATTACTCCCTTTGCCCATTTTGTGCGTCTTGGGGTCTTAGACTCTTTCATCCCTTAGCCCCATTCTTTGTCTCTTTCCCCCTGTCTCTTTCTACCAACCCCACCTCCCCCCTGGCTCCCCATAACACTCAAAGAGTTTAATAATCCCCTTAAATTCACTCACCTTATTCCAGCACTGAGGTCCCTTGGCGCTAGCTCACTCTCGACCTCCTTCGACGTTAGGGCCGATGAGGAACTTAATGTGAATGCGTTGCAAGTGCGACGTGCATTACGTATTCCCCATAGGAAATTCTTTCCTATTGGGGATTTGAAGATGTTGGATGTCCTTATAGAAAGCATGAGGATGTCCAGCATTGTTTCATGTAGTCAAAATCCGTGAAACATCATGAAACATCAGGAAGCACTTTTATTGGCTGTCTGGTAGACAGCCACTAGAAGCAGTCTTAACCTTCCAAAGAAAACATTGCAGTTTTGCAAAAACTGTAATGTTTTACACAGGGCTGCCATCCGAAATTTTGGGGCCCCTGACACAGCTCAAGGTCTGGGCCCCCCGGTGCCCGCACCCGAGTCCGCCCAAAGTGCTGCCACCCCCCCCTCCGAGTCCGCCCACAGGAATGCAGTGTCTGCAGGGACGGTGCAAGGATTTTTGCTGCCCTAGGCAAAAGTAAAGTTTGTCGCCCCCCCCATGTGACATCACAATGCCCCACCCATATGATCTGCCATGTTAACTAACACCAGTGCTGCAGTGCCGCCGTGTTTACATTAAACGGCCTGCAGGGACAGGCTAGACACCAGAACCACTACATTAAGCTGTAGTGGTTCTGGGGACTATAGTGTCCCTTTAATGTGAGGTAAATTAGAGATTAGTGCCACAAATAATATACTAGATTGCCTACTTACAACCAGATGAGGATGATGATGGGCTCTAGCTGCAGTCTGGCTCCACTGGTCTGGTGTAGAACAGGCTCTCTGGAGGCGTTTTGTAACTGTGGTCACAAAAATCAATGTTCTGGGATCAACGGGAATCAGCTCCATTTTTTTGAGGGCCCTTTACACAGCTCAAGGTCTAGGTCCCAGGGTCCACCTTCATGTTCCACCAATGAGTTTGTTCACAGGGGGTGGAGTGTGTGTGGGGGGATGTCCTGATGTGTGTAAGGAATGCATTGTGTGAATCTGTGTTTGTATGTGTAAGGGCTGCAAGGTGAGTTTGTGTATGTATGGGATGCAGTGTGTGCGTCTGTAGGGGATGCATTGAGTGTGTGTAAGGGGTGATTTGTGTGTGATGGATGTCAATCTCTCCCCCTCCCCCCCCGTCAATTTCCTTCTCCTTCTCCCCCCTCCAATTTCCTTCTTCTCCCCCTCCCTCCCTCCAGTTTCCTTATTCTCCCCCTTTCTCCAATTTCCTTCTTCTCCTCCCTCTCCAACTTCCTTCTCCCCCCTCAAATTTCCTTCCTCCCACTCCCCCAAATTTCCTTCCCCTCCCTCCCTCAAATTTCCTTCCTCCCCCTCAAATTTCCTTCCTCTCCCCCCTCAAATTTCCTTCCTCTCCACCCCTCCCTTAAATTTCTTTCCTCCCCCCTCCCTTAAATTTCCTTCCTCCCCCTCCCTCCAATTCTTTCCTCCCCCTCCCTCCCTCAAATTTCTAAATCCCCCTCCCTCCAATTTCCTTCCTCCCCCTCCCACTCAATTTCACTTTCCTCCCCCCTCCCATAAATTTCCTTTCATCCTCCCTCCCTCAATTTCATCCCTCCCCCCTCCATAATTTCCTTCATCCCCCCCTCTCCCTCAATTTCCTTCCTCCCCCCTCCCATAATTTCCTTCATCCCCCCTCCCTCCCTCAATTTCTTTCTCCCCTCCCATAAATTTCCTTCATCCCCCTCCCTCCCTCCCTTAAATTTCCTTCCTCCTCCAATTTCCTTCCCCCTCTCCTCCAATTTCCTTCTCCCCCTCCCCACATTTCCTTCCTCCCCTCCAATTTCTTTCTCCCCTTCCTCCCCTTCCCCCCCCACACCCGGCGGGCCGGCGCGCGGGGGAGCACTCTCCTCTGCTGCTTCCTCTTCAGCCCCCTCGCGCGCCGCGTACTGATGCCGGAGCCGGAAGATGACGTCATCTTCCGGCTCCGGCTTCAGTACGGTGCGCGAGGGAGCCGAAGAGGAAGCAGCAGAGGAGAGTGCTCCCTCGCGCGCCGGCCGGCTTTCAGGGCCAGCCTCTGGGGGGCCCTGATGTGACCGGCTGCTGGGCCCCCCAGGAGAAGAGGCTGGCCCTGTGGGTACATACCGGGGTCGCAGGGCCCCCTGCGACCCGGTATGTACCCACTGAATGTGGGGCCCGGACGACCTGAGCAGTCCGGGCCCCCCAGGACCGCCGGGCCCATGACAACCGTTACGGTTGTCATGCCCTGATGGCGGCCCTGGTTTTACATTACCATGCATAGGGCACCAAGAGATTGCACCCAGACAACTTCAATGAGATGAAATGGTCTGGGTGCCTATAGTGTCCCTTTAAGAAAACCCAATATTTGTAGTGGTATAAATCAAACCTCTCTCCAGACTTCCTCCATTCTTTAGAAAGTTCCACATGGCTCTGGAGATTATGTTAAGCAAGATTGCCGATATATACATTTATTGTTCTCTTTAAACGATGACCTACAACCTGAGTTTGCGGTTGTGACTACAGTTAGTGCAAGCATATCATTACCAAGCAAGCTGTATTTAAAACAAAACAAAAAGAAATACCGTACAACTAAGGGATTATATAATCTATCTATTATATCATTTGTTGGGGGGAAGGTTGCAACAATCAAAGCATGTTTCCCTATTTTAATCTGACCAGATTATAACATTTTTTAATTCTTCCTTCCTTATTCAGGTTCCAATGCCCAACAGATTCTATCCTGGCTGTCGTGAAGTGTATGAGCTAAGGCCATTGAAACATTGTTTGGAATCCATCCTTATTTTATAAAAACTGGGGAATTCTGCAAATTAGAGACATTTCATTTGTGTTTATTTGTCAATCTAAAAACATAATGCGTTTGTAAAATTCAAAAGGATGTCTACAATTTCACAGACTAAATTGATAAAGACTTGTTTTTGTTATGTTTTGAATGTGCTGTCTTCTGGGTTTTTTTAGACTCTTTGAAATTTAAATATAATTTTAGCAGTAAGGTGTGGTATTCAAAGCAAGCCTGGACTGGCCATTGAGCAAACCAGGCAAATGCCTAGTGTTCCACAATGACAATGGGCGGAGGACGACATGGGAGCTCAGTGGGTTTCCCTTGCCAGCCCATGCAGGGCCGACATTATCCAAGCACCGGCTGGTGGGGAAATTAAAGCTTTCCCTCACCAGCCTACATGCAGTCCATATAGACAATATCTCCCAACACACATACACACTGCATCCCTCACTCAGATTGCACCCTCATACACACACTATTCAACTAACACACACACACTGCATCCCTCACACACTGCATCCCTCACACACAAACACTGCAGCCCTCACACACATACACTGCAGCCCTCTTACACACAATTGCACCCCACACACATACACTGCACCCCTTCACACACACATTACACCCCTCGCACATACACTGCACCCCTTTACACACACATTGCACCCCTCACACATACACTAGATCACCTACATTTATACACTACAGCCCTTATGCACACACTCCCTATATACACTATGCCCCCTATACACACACTCACTCTCTCTCACTCACAGCCACAAATATTACACCACAAACACAACTCAATTGAAACTGACCTATTTACACAAAACACCAAACCACAACCAGCTCACTCCACACACATTGCCACAAGCAGGTTCCAAACACATGCACAATAAGCTTTTCAGGCCCTTTTGTCCTCTGGTATCCCACTGATGGAGACACCAGAGACAAGTCACAAGCAAACATAGCGCAAGCATGTCAATACATCTGCTTGTGCTGCACAGACTAAACACAGTGAGAGCTCTTCAGCACGGCTCTATGCATTGAACCAACATGCTCACTTTGAGAGGGGGCGTGCTTGTTATCAGTGATGACAAAACACCTGCTCTGTGGCTCCACCCCTTCTCAGTGGGCCACTGTGATTCAAACATTTTAATCCAATGATATCTTGCAATAGGATAGTAGTTAATTCACCAGTAGAATAATAGGTAAAGTGATACAATTGCCACTCACTGTATTTAGAATTTCTAATAGTATGCAGCATCTGTGCAGTCATAGAGAGCCCCGCTGACCTTGCAGGTAATTGGTAATCATGGGAAAGCTAAGGGACCTGAGAAAAGTTACTTTTCTATGGCTAACACTTAAAGGGTTACTCCAACCCTCTTTTAAACATTCCTTATTTTAGTTGTAAATGTTTTACTGTAGGCACGTCACTTATTCCGACCCCAATGC